GGCACAGACCGTCAGCCCAGGTGACCCATTTCACCCCTCTGCTTGCCTTCTCACCCCCACCTTCCCTTCCTTCCCTGCTGGACCCATCAGCAGAAGTGCTCACTCTATTTCCATGTTCAGAAGATCCACCAGAGCATTGAACGTGCCCACCTCCAGGAGCAGAAAGACGTTGTAGCGCATCCAGAGCTGCACCTCTGCCTCTGAGCTGCACTCCCCAAAGGTGCCTGTGACACAGGACACAGCTTACCCGTGCATGGGTAAGGTCACTGGCAGAGGCACCACTGCCCCCCAAGGAGGTCCACACAGTACCTTGGGCAACATAGAGAATTGCTCGGGCCACCTTGAGTCTCTTTTCCCTGGCAGTGACTTCTAAGCCATCCAGGAGCCTCATGGCATGGGTACGGTGTTGGTTGGTATCCAGCTCGGTCCACTTCTTGTCTGTCACTGCAGGGCAAGAGACCAGTGACACGAGAGCCCAGAAACACTCTCATAACAGAAGATAACTCAGTTAATGCTCCCAATGCAGGACTGCCACAGGACCAGGAAAACAATCTCTTTCTGCTCTGTCCATTTAAATCTCCTGAGAAGTCACCATCCAAGTACCTACAATGCCCACTCTGTCACCTGTGGCCTGAGGAATCATGGTTCAGCACATCTGTCATGTTGCTCTAGAATGACCTTAGCCACTGAGATGACTAAACAAAACCCTGAAGCTTTCCTGACACAGGGTAACAGGAACCAAAGAACAGGAGCCACAATCTCACCATGGATCCGGAAGTCCTCCTCAAAGCATTTTCGATTCATGAGGAATTCTGGCCCTTCCGTGTAGCTGTACAGCTCTGTAAGAACAAAATCTCACCATCATCAGCTCCACACCCACGTTTCACATCAACTCTCACATGCAATGTTTGCTTCTAGTCCCACCTCCATCCCTGACCCACAGGGACTCCTCGACAATGCTAACCACCAGAGGGGCCTCACTGCTGACTGTCCACCGGCCTTCTAGCTGATACCCAGAGTGCCAGCAGAGCATACACCCAGGCGCCTCTGGTCTGGTGCACATTCACCCCACCATGCCATTCCAGAGACCGACTGTGGCCCTGGAAGCATGTCTCTAAAGTTGGGGGCTAGAGAAGCAGAGGAGCCCATGACCCCAGTTACACAGGAAGAGCAGTGGCAACAAAGATGTGCCAGAGGCAAGTGCATCTCTCTTGACCCCTGCCACAGGCGAGACCCCGTCAGGGTGATGATACATGATCAAGGAGCCCCACCGACAGTGTCCCCTTGGGATCAGGTCCAAACAAACAGGTGACCACAAATAAGATACTTCATGAAAGTCAAAACAACCTGAAATTACAAGATGGCTGCAGCCAGAGTCAAATAGCTAATGTGTGTTTTATTTATACTATTGATAGGTCTAACAAACAAACAAAACCTTCCAAATTTATACTCCATTTTAATCTTCTTAAAAACCAATGGAGGGGGGAGAAAACCTACCCCAAAACATGTGAAAGCCTATGGTTTACCTGAGAGCTCCGCGGCCCACTTGTCTGTGTCAGCATATTCAAACTCGAGGTCTGGAGACTCGGAATAGCCCTGCTGATAAAAGTAGAAAGCTTTGGGCTGGGGAGACAGCTCGGCGGTCTAAGCACCTGCCTGGCAAGCATGAGGACCTGGGTTTGATCCTTGGAACCGCATGCTATGTGGGCCCCAGAATGTGGCGCACACCTGTAATCCCAGCACTGGGAAGGCTGAGACAAGATGATCACTATGAGTCTGAGCTGCACAGCGAGACCCTGTACCAAATAAATAGCTAACTTTGAAAACTTTTTAAAAAGAAAATAGAAAGCTCTACACAAATGAGCATCAGCAGTTTCCAGAGGGGCAAACACATACATTCCCAGAGTCACTACTGCCTTGCAGGACTCCACCGCCTCTACTTTTTGGATGCTTCATCACACTCTCAAGTCTCCTGGACTAGCTGGGTCTTCCTCAGTGAGAACTAACAGCCCTTTCACAGACGTTGCCTTCAAAGAGGTCATCGGAACTTAAAATTACATACTGGCATGTTCACAGCACTACCTTGGTACTGCTCAATAATTGGTGGACTGGAAAAGGTAGCACACCACACACTCCAGTTTACACGTTGCATATCAAACAATGAATATCAGGACAAGATTTCTGAGTTACAGCGAGTAGAAAGTTGAGCTTCAAAGCCTTCGAGAACCATGCTGAGTTTAACATCTGCTTCTCCTGGAGACTGCAAGTTCCCTGAGGGTTGGAACTTTGACTCCGCCATGATTCCACAATGTTCAGCACGGGACTGTGCATGAATGAATGAGGAATGGCTTATATCTAAATATACATTTATTGTATAAATGAACACAAAGCTTCTCTTCTGTAGTGAATGACCATTCTGTATAATCCAGAAGCTTCACTTCCTTCTGGCTAGTGAGCTATCCCAGCTGAGGACAAAAAGAGCACCAACCCCTCAGACTTCCTGCAGCATCTCAAATTTCAGTGAGAGCTGACAGGGAAGGCAGCATAGAACAGACTGGTTAAACGCCCACACACAGGAGAGAATGTAACAAAGGGTATTTTTACTGCTAGGGATAGGTGGTTAGTGACAACCTACCATGAAGAGGCAAGAAAAACCAAGCAAACTCCTTAGGCTCAGGTAAATCTACTTGGGGGGACAGAATAGCTCGCGGTAGAGCCCCTGGCTAGCATGCATAGGGCACTGATTCAATCTCCAGCACTACAGGAATAATAATAATAAATACTAATGTCTAATTGGGAAGACAACAGCACACTCACGAACAAGAAGCATCCTCTAGTCATAGGTAACAGTATACACTCTCATAAATTACTAAGCATCAGTTTTTTCATTTATGGGATGTAGCTGACAAAAACCCAACTTGAGTGTTTTTAAGGACTACTCCAAATTATTTAGCACACAGTGGTTTGTTATTAGACATCACATCAGCCTCCTTGTCCTTCAGGCATCAACTGGCCTCCCCAACTACTGATTTCAGCTACAACTGGAGCATGGTAGCAGCATCTCCAAGTAACACACCTAGACACCTTGCCAGATCTATCCGATTGGCCTTCCATGTGCCGAGTCTATGTGCGAACTATAGGGCAGAAAGAAATTAGGTGCACAACCTGGGCTAACAGTGTAACAGCTGAGGGGCAGGGTGCTTGCCAAGCATGCATAAGGCTCTTAGTTCTATCCCTGTATGAAACACAGCACAATAATAATGAATAAATATAGTATTTGTCTACTTATGGATACTTAGGGAAATGTAAAACCCTTTTAAAAGGGGCTAGAGTTCCAGTGGTAGAGCAACCACAAGGCTCTGGGTTCAATCTTCAACAGAGAAGACTGACAGACAGACAGATACATAGGTAGATAGATGGATAGATGACAGACAGACACTGGTGGGTTCACCTCACCACTTTCAGAGACCTCCACACTTGAAAAATTACTGAGTAATCACCACTGATGTCTCATCTCATTACATAAGAGATCTTAAAAGATCAATTTTTTTAACATCTGCTTCAAGCCTGGAGTAGTGGCACACACTTGTAATCCCAGCAACTGTGTAGCCAAGGCAGGAGGATCGCTGGGAGTTGAAGGCCAGCCTGAGTTACACATCAAGACCTTGTCTCAAAAAACAAAACAATTTTTCCTTCCACCTTGTTATCACTAGTGTGGACTTGCCCATTTTTCACATATTTTACCAAACAACTGGGGTGGGGGGTCGCTACAGAAAAAAAAATCCAACGTTTGAAACGGACTGATTTCTCAGGTCTAGGCCAGTATCATCACTCTTTTGTGTGAGCTGGGACATCAATCTTGGACAATGATAAATTTCCTCTTTAATAATCGCCTGACTGGTGATCGGACCCGCCTGCGAGTTGTCTCAGGTAAAGGAGACCATAGTAAATGCTCCAGGAACGTGCTGATTAAGACGCCCTAAAACGTGGTGACGAGTGCGTCTTCATTCATGAATTCTGCAAAGGGAAGCAGTGGGAGGAATTTTAATTCGGGGTGAGGTGAATAGTCAGCTCCCGACTATGCAGTCTCCGGAAGGGGAGGCACGGCTCACTCTGGGGAGGGAACCCCGCGCTCTCGCGCGGGTTTACAATCTGTATTTCTGATCCTCAACACCACCAGCTCGGCATCAGGCACTGTCGCCCGTGGTGTGTGCCTGCACTGGCTAAGCCAGGCGGAACCCCACGCGGCCCTTCTCGTCTCGCACCCTCCGTCCGCTCCGCACTCGCCGGAGGAGCACTGTATTCAGCTGGCCGGCGACCAATCGCTCGGCCGTCCCTGCCCGACCGCAAGCCGCGCGCAGTCCCGCGCACGCCAGGAGGCGATCCGCGGGGATCCGGAGTCGGGGGGACGCAGACCCAGGGCTCCCCGCGACCAGGCCCACGCCCACGCCGGCCCGGGCAGGCAGCGGGGGGCAGAGCCCCGGCCCCCTCTGGCGCCGCGCCTTAGCGCTCCCGGCCCCGGCTGCTCTCGCTGCCCCTTTCTTTGTCAAGTGACAGCTCCCCAGCCTAGCCCTGCAAGCGCTCCGAGAAGCCCAGCTTGGCCGGCAGCGGCCAGGCGCACGG